CAACCTCAAACTCTTGGGCTTAAGTGATCCTCTTGCCTCAGCCTCCCAAGTAGCTGGGACTACAGGCACCTGCCACAACACCCAGCTATTTTTTGTTGCAGTTGTCATTGTTGTTTAGCTGGCCTGGGCCTAGTTCGAACCCGCCTCAGTGTATGTGGCTGGCGCCATAACCATTGTGCTATGAGCACCGAGCCTCCCAAACATTTTCATCACTTCAAAGAGAAACTTCATACTTACTAGTAGTCACTCCCCATTTCTCCCTACCCCTCATCCCTAACCCCTAATGTATTTTCTGTCTCTGGATTTTCCTATTCTGGACATTTTATATAAATGGAATCATACAATATGTGGTCTTTTGGTCTTGCTTCTTTCACCAAATATGTATTAAAGCTTCATACATGTAGCAGGTATCAATGCTTCATCTATGTTATGGCTTAATAATATGCATTATATGGATATACTACATGTTGTTTATCTTTTCATCAGTTGATAGATTTTTGGGTTGTGTCCACTTTTTTTGCTATTATGAATAATGCTGCTATGAACATATTTGTACAAATTTTTGTGCAGACACAAAAACTGGGGTATATACCTTGGACTGGAATTGCTAGATCATTGGTAATTCTATTTTAACTTTTTGAGAAGCTGTGAGACAGTTTTCTAAAGCAGCTGTACCATTTTACATTCCCACCAATAAAGTATTAGGATTCCAATTTCCTAGATCCTCGTCAGCACTTGTTATTGTCAGCATTTTTTGTTATCCCTGTCCTATTAACTATGAAGTGGTATCTCCTTGAAGTTTTGATTTTTCATTTCCCTTGTGACTAATGATGTTGAGTATCTTTTCATGTCCTTATTGGGCAACTGTATATTTTGTTCAGAGAAACGTCTGTTCAGATCCTTTGCTCATTTTTAAGTTGGGCTATTTGTCTTTTTATTGTAAGAGTTCTTTATGTATTCTGGGTAGTAGACCCTTATATAAATATGAGAGATAGGTTAAACCCTTCTACTGGTCTTTGGTCCATTTTAAGTTAATTTTTATATATGGTGTAAGATAGGGGTCTGTCTTAGTCTGCTCAGGCTGCTATAACAAATTATCTTAGACTGAGTAAATTATAAACAATAGAAATTTATTGCTCACAATTTTGGAGGCTGGAATGTTCAAGATCAAGGCACCAACAGATCTGATGTCCAGTGAGAGCCCATTCCTCATACATGGTGCCTGCCATGTGTCCTCATACAGCAGAAGGGGCAAACAAGCTTCCTCAGGCCTCTTTTTTAAGGGCATTAATCCTATTTATGAAGTCTCCACCCTCATAACCTAATCACCTCCCAACACCTCACTGCACTGAGGACTAAGTGTCAATATATGAATTTGGGGAGGAGAGACATAAACATTCAGACCATAGTGGGTCCAGCTTTATTCTCTTACATGGGGAAATCCAGTTGTCCCAGCATTATCTGTTCGGTTTTTGTTGTTGTTTTTTGGGGGGGGGACGTTGTTTTTTGTTTTGAGGCAGAGTCTTAGTGTCACCTAGGCTAAAGTGCAGTGATCTCAGCCTAGCTCACAGCAACCTCAAACTCCCAGGCTCAAACAATCCTCCGGCAATAGCCTTCTGAGTAGCCAGGACTACAGGTACACAACACCATGCCTAGCTAATACTTCTGTTTTTAGGGGAGACAGGGTCTCACTTTCTCAGGCTCTTCTCAAACTCCCAAGCTGAAGCAATGCTCTCACCTCAGCCTCCTAGAGTACTAGGATTACAGGCATGAGCCATCATGCCTATCCAGCATTATTTATTTAAAAGATTATTTTTTCCCCTTGAAGTATCTTGAAAACTTTGTCAGAGGCAGTTGACCCTAATTATATGGGCTATTTATTTCATTTTGGATTTAAATTAATTAAAATCAAATAAAATTTAGTTCCTCAGTCACACTAGCCACATAATAGGCACACAATCACATGTGGCTAGAGGCTGCCATATTGAATAACTCATGTGTTTGCACACACACACATTTTCCACATTATAGCAAGTCTTATCAACTAGTACTGCTCTGTATCCTCCAACTTCCCACAAGCCTTTCCAGCTCATTTCTATCCTGATCTTCAAAGCTAGCAGTCAGGAGGTAGGGAGTTTCTGTAAGTAGTTTACATGTCTAGCCCATATTCTAGTTTAAAAACACATATGTATGTAATGAAAGAAAACACCACAGTCACTGGATTTACTATCCTTTGAAGAGAAAGTGGTTGTCAATCAGTGTTCCTTAAGTGAAGAGTATTTGCTGAAATAGCTCAGACACTAGACTATACAGTGAAATCTTCAGTGTTAAAATTTCAACTGTCTACTTTATTCATTAGTTGATGATCATTTCTGATGGTTTTGCTTTTCCCTATTTCTCCCTTGCTAAACCTCTCCCTAAAGATAGGAAGAAGGGAGGGTGGTTCTTTACTTTAATATAAATTAGAATCACCCCAGGACTCTGTTAACTGTTCAGATTTATAGGTCCAACCCCCAGAGATTCTGACTCAGCAGCTTGGGAGAGGGTCAAAGAATCTTCTTGTTTAATAAATGCCCTAGATGAGTCTAATTCTAGTTGCCAGTGGAGGGCCACCTTTTGAGAAAGTTTTTGCAGAGTATTTCATAACTTTTGCTAAAGTTCTTTCTTGCAGGACTAGAAAATGAACCATATTCTTTCTAATTATAGAGGCCCCCAGAATGAAAAGTGACAACAAGGAAAATCCACAACAGGAAGGGGCTAAAGGAGCAAAGCCATGTTCTGTGTCAGCTGGCAGATCCAAAGGGAATGGTCTGCAGAGTCCTGAACCAAGAGGAGCAAACCTGAGTGAACCTCGGTTGTCACGGAGGCAGGTCAGCCCCCCAAATGCTCAAAAGCCATTTGTTCACTATCAGAGACATTGCAGGGAACTGGAATACATCAGCAGCCCACTAAAAAGTCACCCACTGAGAGAGCTGAAAAAAAGCAAAGGAGGTAAAAAAAGCCTGAGCAATCGTTTGCAACGTCTTGGTCACCAGCCAACCCGCTCAGCAAAGAAACCCTACAAGTGTGATGACTGTGGGAAAAGCTTCACATGGAATTCAGAGCTGAAAAGACACAAGAGAGTCCACACAGGAGAGAGACCCTACACTTGTGGAGAGTGTGGAAACTGCTTTGGGCGGCAGTCAACCTTGAAGCTGCACCAGAGGATTCACACTGGAGAGAAGCCATACCAATGTGGCCAGTGTGGGAAAAGCTTTCGCCAGAGCTCAAACCTTCACCAGCATCACAGGCTCCACCATGGGGACTGAAAGGAGTGCTCCTTGCTTTAGATTCACCAGGGAAGGTACTTGTGTTTCTGCTTCCCCTTACTTGCATGTAAATCACAAAGACTGTCTGTGTAACTTACAAGGAGAGCAAGAGGCCTGTGAGGAATGAAGGTGCACAGTGAGGATCCCCAGAAGAGGCTGACCAGGACCTGACTGTGCACAGTGATAAGGTGAAAAAGTGACAGATCCAGGCATTGGATCAAAGATAACTGCAGTCTCTGCAGAGAGCAGGGACTACTGTAGGAGAATCGGGGCAATCCTACTGGTGGCCCCTTATTGTTAAATCATCCCCCCATTGCTCTAAAATATGTTAAAGGGTAAATTATATGTATAGTTATGCATTTGCTGTCATACCAGACAATTTTTATCATGCTCATACTTCTTTAATAAAAATGAGTGGCCATCAGAATTTTAAGGCAAAGTTCATTGGAAAATAGATCCCCCAGTGTCTCTTCTATAATTCCTAGTTGTTCATAACAAAGGATGAATTAAGTGAGAGTATGTGAATGTTTGTATGGGGAGAGGATTTCCAAATAATTACATGGTGCTTTTACCAAAAAAAAAAAAAAAAATACATTTGAGGGATCTTTTTGTATCAAAACATCTTTTATTTAGAAAAAGAAAATCCATACAGCTGCTACAACCCCACTCTGAGAGAAAGGGAAAAAGTATAGTGAGAAGCAAGCAGTGGATAAAGGTTCTGAGGAAATGTGAGAGGGAATTCTTACCACTCTCCTTTCTAACTTAGGCCATTAACTTAAAGATTAACAAAATGTTTGTTGTGTTAAAAATGTCCTAAAACTGGGGTGGCACTGGCCACATACACCAAGGCTGGTGGGTTCAAACCTGGCCCAGGCCAGCTAAAACAACAGTGACAACTGCAAGAACAACAAAAAATAGCCATGCGTTGTGGCAGGCACCTGTAGTCCCAGCTACTTGGGAGGCTGAGGCAAGAGAATCACTTGAGCCCAAGAGTTTGAGGTTGCTGTGAGCTGTGATGTCACAGCACTCTACCCAGGGAGACAGCTTGAGACTCTGTCTCAAAAAAAAAAAGTTCTAAAACTGGATTATGGTGACTGTCACACAACTTCATAAATTAACTAAAATTCATTAAATGGGTTAATTTTATGATACATAAATTGTACCTCAGTAGCATTGTTTTGTTTTGTTTGTTTTTGAGTCAGAGTCTCACTTTCATCCCCCTTGGTAGAGTGCTGTGGAGTCATAGTTCACAGCAACCTCAAACCCCTGGGCGCAAGTGATTCTCCTGCCTCAGCCTCCTGAGTAGCTGGGACTACAGGTGCACCACAACACCTGGCTATTTTTAGAGATGGAGTCTTTCTCTTGCTTAGGCTGATCTCAAACTCATGAGCTCAGGCAATCCACCTGCCTCAGCCTCCCAGAGTGCTAGGATTACAGGCAAGAGCCACCATGCCTAGCCTAGCTTTTTTTTTTTTTTTTTGAGACAGTCTCACTATGCCACCCTCAGTAGAGTGCTATGGTGTCACAGCTCACAGCAACCTCAAACTCTTGGGTTTAAGTGATTCTCTTGCCTCAGCCTCCCCAGTAGCTGGGACTACAGGTGCCTGCCACAATGCCCAGCTATTTTATGTTGTAGTTGTCATTATTGTTTAGCAGGCCCAGACCAGGTTCAAAACTACCAGCCCCAGTGTATGTGGCCAGCACCCTAACCACTGAACTATAGGCACCGAGCCTAGCTTAGTATTTTTCAAATGACAAAATATATTCATGCAAAATATTAGAGTCCTAGAACTAAGCCTAGGAAATCATCTAATTCCACCCTTCTCATTTTCTCCAAGTGGAAATTAAAAAGATCAGTATACAATTCTCAGTTACTCTGGGAAAGCCAGCTAATTTCTCAGTTGAGAAAACATTTCACAGATTGGTATGCTGTGTCATGCAGGGGAGAGAGGCAGGTGGACTTCTTCCGAAAAACACCAATATCAAGTCACTGCCAGTCACTTTGGGGCTGCAACCTGTGTTCTGCCTCCATGAATCTCAGGGCAAGTATATACCTATGAGATGTCACTTGGGGCCTGTGCACATGCTGTTTCCTTTGCCTTTAGTTCCTGCCATGTCCCCCATACTTTCTACCTCCACTATCTCTCAAGAGTTTCCTGCTCTGGAAAACCTTCCCTGACAACTTTTGTTATAATCATGGGTCAGCCTCCCTGCTAGACTCCGTACAATAGAAGTGCTCAACCTGGGACACTCCCCGCCCTCCTCCCCACCCCCACCACCGGGGATGTTTGGCAATGTCAGATATTTTTGGTTATGATATGGGGAAGGGAGTATTGAACCTGGCCTCTAATAGATCCTGCTGACTGTCCTGCAGGCGCAGGACATCCCCCACAATTATCTGGCCCAGCATATCAATTGTGCTGAGGGTGGGGATTGACTACATCCTATAGAATATCTTTCAGGACAAGAACTTTGTTTTCCCATAATTTTAGCTTTTGGACTTGGGCTGTGCCCAGCTGAGAGAAATAGAGGTTCAGTAATTGAATAGTAGAGGACCCTCGTTTTAACCTTCCAGGCTCATTTCTGCCTGAGTTCAGAGGTTTGTGACAAATGGTTGACTGTACAAACAAACTTCTGTCTTTTCGGCAGAGGCTTATATAAAGCCCATTGGCCTTTCTCATAGTTTTTGGCATTCTCTTAGGCAGTTATCATCCATCTACTATGTTAAATCATAGAATTTATCTTTGGTATCTGGTCTCCCCCTATCCTACACTGCCCCTGGCCTGCTACTTCTCCCTAGTCAGGACCTCTTTATTTCTCATTGTATTCCTTCCTTGCCTTATCCCCCTTTTCTAGACTGTTTTCATTGTTACCCTTTAATCTACAAGTCATAGTCACACCTGTATTTTTTTTTTTTTT